AAATGTAACGGGAGATGAACTGTTGTATTTTATTGAAACGGGATACCGCGTGATTGGTATCACCGTGACATTTTAGAATTCCTCTTCTAGATCCATTAAAGCAAAGGGTTTTTTCAAAATATTTGACTCTCTCGAAATGGCATCTCTATTTGAAAAAACAAAAAGAAAAAGGAAAAAAAAATTAGAGCAGACAATGTGGGGTCACTGAACTCGATGGATGGGATAAGTAGGTCGGCTCTTCTTTCCTCTAATATATAATTAATTATTTTTTTATAATTTTTATATATTACTAAATAAATATGTATTTAATATTTTCAATTTTAAATAAATAAAAAATTAATTATTTAAATAATACATAAAATTATATTAAAAATAATATAAAAATTTGTCCTTAAATCATTTTTTATTTTCTTAATTTGTTTATTTTAATTATTCTCCACTTAAAATGTATTTGAGAATAAAGACCAACTTTTATAAATTGAAGTAATTAATTGTTTAATTAATAAAATTATTATCTTGTATAAAAAAAATTTTAAATATTATAAAAAAATATATTATATTATTTTTTTTGAACAAGTTGTTAAGAAAAAAAGAGAATGCACCTCAAACTGACAGACTGTCAATTAACCTAAAAGGTCAGGTGCATATTATTTAATTAAACACCCATAAAGATTCTTATAGAACTTTAGGAACTCACTTTTGTACATCCACATAAGAGAATGAAACTCATGACAGGAAGTAAATCATGCAAACTTTAACTCATGGAGAGGGTATGTGCTAGCATGTCGGCTACTTGAAAAAAAGTAATGCATAAAAGATGGGCTAAACGAACGACAATGCCAAGAAAACAATCCAGCAGGAGGTGAAATTGATAACTTAAAGACCAGAAGACATTTGAATGCATAAACATAGGGAATCATGACCCCAATGACATCTTCAATAACACCAAACTTGAACACATACATATGACCAGACTTCCAAACCTTGCATGAATTAAAGATAAAATCAAATACCCAACATCATGAACAAATCCAATCACCAGAATAGTTAATACCACTAAATAAGAATAAATCATCAAAATTCCATTTCTTGTTCTAAAAAGCTCAGACAGCAACCAAAGAAAAATTCAACAACCATAAACTGGGTTGGCACAGAAACTGAAATTGATACAGATTCAAGTACTCACACCATATGAAAAACCCATGATAGAACTGGCTAACAAAAAATGGAGATATGGAAACAAATGCTCTGATTAGACAAAATATTTGTTGTCAAAAGTATGGAGAAAGACCAAAACTTGAGTGAGAAAGAAAAATAAAAGAGCGCATTGTTGTTGAACACCCTAAAACAGCAAAAATTAAATGGCCAGAACAACAAGATTTGCACGGACCAGCAAGACAGCAGCACAACACATAATTGTGTATATTTGATAATATTATCATTATTTAAAACAATTTACTAGGAACAAAATACTATTTTTGTATTTCATTATTTATTTCTAATTTCTAATAATAAATTTTTAGTTATACTTTTCTTCATTTTATTTTTTCTTTTAAAACTCAAAGACGTCCTTAAAGAATATTGAGGCTGAATCAATCTTTATTAGGTTATAATCAGGGTATATATACAAGATGTATAGAAGTATATTTACACTTCTAACCCTATACAATGTACATGTGTATTATGATATACATTATCATCCCCCCGCAATTTGAGTGGGAGAGCAAAGAACGCTCAAATTGGACCTTTGAGATCGGAAAAGAGCAGAAGAGAGAGCCTTGGTGAGGACATCAGCACGTTGGGCAAAAGAAGGAAGATACTGAATGCAAATAATACCAGAAATAACATGTTCTCTAACAAAGTGAATATCAATCTCAATATGCTTCGTCCGTTGATGTTGAACTGGATTGAGAGACATGTAAATGGCACTGATATTATCACAATAAACCATAGGAGGAGAATGAAGGAAAACATGTAGCTCAGAAAGCAGTTGACGAACCCAAAGAACCTCAGCAACGGCATTGGCTATAGCACGATATTCAGCTTCAGCACTTGACCGAGCGACAGTGTTTTGCTTCTTGGAAGACCAAGAAATCAAAGAATTACCAAGAAACAAACAAGAACCAGAAATAGATCTTCTAGTATCAACACACCCAGCCCAATTAGCATCCGTAAACATATGCAGAGAAAGAGAGGAATTATGAAATAATTGAAGACCATAATTCAGAGTACCTTTCAAATATCGTAATATCCGTTTGACAGCAGTGAAGTGATTATGAGTAGGGGCATGCATATACTGACAAACCTGGCCAACAGCAAAAGCAATATCTGGGCGTGTAAAGGTTAAATACTGTAGAGCACCCACAATACTACGATAGAATGCCGGATCAGAGTAAGCTAGACTATCAGTAGAAAACAATTTTGCCTTGGGTGCCATAGGTGTTACCACTGGCTTACAATTAAGCATGCCACTTCTTTCAAGGAGCTCATGAGTATACTTAGACTAAGAAAGAAATAATCCATCGGAATTGAAACTAACACTGATACCCAAAAAATAATTAAGCTACCCCAAATCAGTCATCAAGAACTCACTTTTCAGCAAAGAAATAATGGCATGAAGCAGCAATTTAGTGGAAGTCGTGAGCACAATATCATCCACATAAAGTAAAAGAATAGCCATAGCACCATTAGAATGATAAAGAAACATAGAACTGTTGGAGCGAACTTGAGAAAAATCTCGAGTAAACAAAAAAGATCCAAATCTTTGAAACCAAGTACAAGGTGCTTGCTTCAAGCCATAAAGAGCACGATTCAACCGACAAACATAATCAGGATATTTTGGATCAATAAACCCAAGAGGCTGAGACATATATACAACCTTAGAAAGCCACCCATAAAGAAAGGCATTCTTCACATCAAGTTGATGAATAGGCCAAGAATACATCACAGCTAATGCCAAAATAGTTCGAATGGTAACAGGCTTGACCACAAGACTGAAAGTATCATTATAATCAATACCTTGTTGTTGTGTAAACCCTTGAGCAATGAGGCGAGCTTTGAAGCGCTCAATAGAACCATCAGCCTTCTGTTTTATACGATAAACCCACTTGGAGCCAACCACATTGACAGTTGAAGGACAAGGCACAAGAGACCAAGTATTATTCTTTAGCAAAGCCGAGAACTCATCCACCATTGCAGAACGCCATTCGGAGAATTGACAGGCTTCTTTAAAGGTTTTTGGTTCCTTGATGTCAGTTCTAGAAGCAAGCAAGGATGGCAGAACCCGAGGCTTTTGAGTGCCAACTTGAGACCCGGTAATCATAGGATGGATCCGCCATGGAGGCTGCAAGGAAGGTGGTAGCGAGGAGGCAGGGGACAGTGGAAGGGAACAAGAAGACATGGAAGAGGTAGCATGGGAGGCAGGGAGATCGACAGGAGAATGAGGGGAATCTGTGGAAGATTGGGAAAACTCCGATGGTGGTAAAGAAGGCAAAGCCGTGGAGGAAGAAAGAAAAGGTAAGGACAAGGAAGGAGAAGATGATACAGTATTTTGGATTGACTTGGGATAGGCCGGCGATGGTGGAGAAGAAGGTAGAATGGGCTGAGATGAGATTGGACGGGCAGGTCATGGTTTTGGGCCAAGGAAGGTTTAGAAATGGGCTTAATGGGAGGAAAATCCATGAGGTGAAATGGACTGCGAAAATGGGGAAGTGGTGAAGACACCGGGGCAGTGTAGGTGTAAGGAAAAGAGGTTTCATCAAAAACAACATGACTCGAGATAATAATCTTATTGGTTGCCAAATCAAGACAATGATAACCCTTATGATGAGTTGGGTAGCCTAGAAAAATACATAAGGTAGAGCGAAGAGCTAATTTATGTGGTGCAGTGGCAGACATATTAGGATAGCAGGCACAACCAAATGTTCTCAAGTGATCATATTTCGGTGGGAAACCGAAAAGCACCTCATAAGGAGTAAGAAAATGTAGTCTGGAAGTAGGTAATATATTTAGAAGATGAACAGCTACATAAATAGCTTTCACCCAAAATTTACTAGGCAAATTTGCTTGAAAAAGTAAAGAACGAACCATGTTCGTGATCGTTCTATTCATGCGCTCAGCTTTCCCATTTTGTTGGGGAGTTGAGGGACAAGAAGAACGGAGATGAATTCCATGAGTATGAAAGTAGGATGCAAATTGAGAGTTATCAAATTCACGACCATTATCACATTGCAAAGCTTGATCTTAGCACCAAATTGAGTAGACACAAAAGTAGAAAATTTAAGAAAAGAATCAAGCACTTGAGTCTTAGATGACAAAGGATAAATCCATAAATAATGACTATATTTATCCAAAAATAACAAATAATATTTAATCCCAGAAAAAGACATTGTAGGTGATGTCCAAACATCGGAATGAATCAACTCAAATGGTTTAGTAGGAAAAGAACAAGACTCAGAAAAGGGAAGACGAACATGTTTCCCAAGCTGACATGCATGACATAAACGTGGTGGCAAAGTAACTCTTTCAGTTGGAAGAAAACCATGTCTAGCAAGATGTTGAATAGAAGTGATGCCCGGATGACCAAGACGACAATGCCACACATCAGGAGAATGTGAAACAGAATAGACAACAGGATAACTGGGGAAGGAACCACTAGAAAATGAGTACAAGCCATCCGGACTATTGCAATGAAGGAGGACGTTCTTCATCTTGTTGTCCTTAATAGAAAAACCAGATGAATCAAAGTTAACACTACAATTATTATCATGAGTAAACTGATGAACAAAAACAAGATTTTTGGTAAGATGTGGAGCAACCAAAACATTATTAAGACGAAAATGAGAGTTGGAAGTAGAGAGAAAAGCATTACCACTAGAAGTAACAGGCAATAACTGACCATTATCGACTTGAATAAAATTGGAGGAAGAGGAAGGAGTGGAGTGAAGTAATTTACCAGGATTGTTGGTAGCATGGGTTTAAGCTCCACTGTCAAAGTACCAATTGGGATCCATAGGAGCAGGAACTAAATTTGCATATAGTGACTGGTGTGTAGAGGAAGCAAAGGCAGGTCTGGCAGTTAAGAAAGAGCAATCACGTGCTTGATGACCCAGTCGATTACACCATTGACAAGCAATAGAAGTTGGCGGAGTTGGCAGAGTTGGTAGTAATGGGGGTAAGGCACGGGTAGAACTATTGGCAAAATGAAACCCAGCCACTTGACCATCAGACTTTGCAAACAAAGACCCATTAAAACCAGCACCATGAGTCCAAGAATAACCAGCCGAAAAATCAGAGGCACCATGAGCCACATTGTCAAAATCGCGACCAGAATAAGAATGGCTAGAAAATTTTGAGCAATGATTCTAGATAGTACGACCACTTCCGCGAGATCCCCGACCTCAATTAGTCTGGCCTCCCCTAAAAGAATTATTCTGACCAAAACCACGACCTCGTTGCAAATGAGCAGCATAATGAATTTGGAGATCAAAAGGGTGAGTAAGTTGCAACAATTGACTGGAACTAAAAGAGCCATTCATCAATGAGCTATTTGAGGATTCCTGCAAAATATTAGCTTCCTCAATCAACAGTAGCGATCGCAATCCCAAGAAAGTAGGGAAGGGAACACGTTGAGGAATAGTGCGCTAGGCCATTGAAAATGAATGATCAAGACCAGCAATAGTTCGAAGCACTAAATCTTTATCATATATTGGATGACCAATTCCGAAAAGCCGATCAGATAACCCCTTGACATACTGCAAATAGTCCATAACACTCTGGCTAGACTGCTTCTGAATACCACTGAATTCTTGAGTTAATTGAAGTGCAGTAGCACTAAGTTGGCTTTGGTACAACTGATGAATAGATTCCCAAGCTAATTTTGCTGTGAGCTGCTTACCAGGTTGAAGAATAAATTGAAGAATGTCTATTGATATAGTGGCCTGAATCCAAGACAGTACTTGATAATCAACTTGCATCCAGTAATCAAAATTTGGACTGTTAAAGGAGGGACACAAATAGGAACCATCAACATGACCATAAACACCTTTGCTTTTCAATACAGGAATCATCAATTCCTTCCGCACAAAAAAATTAGTGTGATCAAGAGTTTCTGCCACATAATTCCAAATATTGGTGACGGAGAAAACAAGATGAGAGAAAACAGAAGAGGCAAGGGTTGTGGGTAAAGAGGAAGAAGTAGGAGGAAAAGAAGGAATAGGGATTGACGGCGTGACAGACACCACAGGAGAGGCAGGGGCAAAAATTGTAGAAAGAAACGGAAAACCAATAGAAAGAGAAGGAACATGAGCATGGGGAAAGGAAGGAATAGGAGAAGTAGAGGAAGGAGACAAAGAAGAAGAAGACGAAGACTCATCCATTGACGTAGAGGCACAGCATAATAAGAAACCTAGGGTTTTGGAATTATTTGGTGTTAAGAGAAAGCTTTGATACCATAAAGAATATTGAGGTTGAATCAATCTTTATTAGGTTATAATCAAGGTATATATACAAGATGTATAGAAGTATATTTACACTTCTAACCCTATACGATGTACACATGTATTATGATATACATTATTAGTCCTAACAAATTGCAAAGTTAGAAAATGCTAGTACAAAACAACAAGAGCAAGAATGAACAGT